GAAAAGGCAGCAACTCGGAAAATGTTTACGCGCGAAGTGGCGAAGTGTAATTTGCAGGCGTCGGGAAAAAGAGGGACTTTTTATCCAATAACGGCCGAGAAAATCGCCGCAAAATATTTATAAATTATTATTATTATTATAGAATACGTCAGGCGCAAAGACGAAGGGAGAAAAATAATACGTTTTCATGCGACGAGGTTCTCTCTCTCTCTCTCTCTCTCTCTTTTGTTCATCGCGCTTACGTAAATGCAACACTCCCTTTATTACGCCATGGAAACGAGGTGTTCAACTTGAAATCGATACTCGCCACTTCGCAACATCGTTGACGAGCCATGATTTTATTAACGAGGCCCCTGGCTCCTTTGGAAGCCACCTCCTCTCCTCTCCTCCGCCCTCGCCCGCGTTCTCCTTCCGTCGTCCTGCCGTGCTTACCGGTTCCCGGTGTGTCCCCCCCGGTATCCGGCGAAACTCGACACTTCTCCTGGGACGCGATATTGATCGCGGTTTTGCGGCTGAAAAGATTACCGCGATCCGCGATAACGTTGCGCCGTGTACACACAGCCCGTATATTCCGCTCGCGCTCGGAATTCTCGATACGCCTCGCACGAGTTCCGCCCGGGCGAAGAAAACTACAAATTCCCTTCCGAGATCATTACACGAGCGTATATGTAACTAACATATCTAAAAAAAAAAAAAATATCGATTGTCGTCCGAGATTGATCGCGCGAGCTTCTGTTTTCGGCAGAAGACGAAGAGATCTGTTACTCGTACATATTTGCTCCGTATATTTGTTATTTAAAAGAAAACATGTGGATATTTAAAGAAATATTTTTGTCTCCAAGCTAATATAGATAAATGTAACTGACGATTTGTTCAAAAATCCTGAAGGAGCTATCCGAGATAAGGAAGACCGTAAATCTCGCGATGGACAAACACGAGCAGCGCAAGCTGTTGTCATTACGTTTATTCCTGGCCTTCTATTTTCGACGGTCAGAAAGTTACGAGAAGTTTGCCGGCGGAAAATTTCAACGCGCGCTCCGGCGAACGATAAACTACGCGGAACGTCGTCGTTCTCGCGCGCGCGCGCTAGAGAACCCCGTGATTCTTCGAGGAAAGATTTAAAGACCGAATCAAACTAGCAATTGTAGACGCGGATTGGATTGGGATTGGCGATTGTCCTCTGGCTAGCGAGAGTCGATTAAATCGCTGGCCGCTTTGCTCTCATTGGCTGGAAGACAATCCGCCAATCCCAATCCAATCCGAGTCGGCAGTTGCTAGTCTGATTCGGCCTTAAGGCCGATTGTCCTTTAGCCAATGAGAGTCGATTACATAAATTGCTGGCTGCTTTGCTCTCATTGGCTAAAGGACAATCGTTAATCGCCAATTCAATCCGCGTCGACAACTGCTAGTCTGATTCAGCCTTTAAAGTCTTTAAGGCCGAATCAAACTAGCAATTACCGACTCGGATTGGATTGAGACTGGCGATTGAGTTAAGGCCGAATCAGACTAGCAACTACTGACTCGGATTGGACTGGGATTGGCGACTGACGATTGTCTTCTAGTCAATGAGAGCCGATTAAACCGCTAGCTGCTTTGCTCTCATTGGCTAAAGAACAATCGCCAATGTTAATTCAATCCGAGTCAACAATCGCTAGTCTGATTCGGTCTTTAAGGCATCGCGGAATAGTTGCACGATTTGTACTCTCCGCTGGTGAAATGATATTGGCCACTCGTAGAAAGCCAGCCTTGACCGAGAGCACAACCTACTTGCGGTGCATCGGGAATGGAGTCGATCACACCTTATCGGCGCGATTCCGACGGTCATCGTTGACCGCGACGTGCAACGTAAAGCGCTAATGGATGAGTAATTTCAGTCCTGGACGTCGTTCGGATCCCCGGCCGCTCGTCGTTAAAGCCGGCGATCACGTTCGGCGGCGATAAAACGTCGGGACGTTCGCCGCCGGGCGGAATAAACCGGCCGTTGTATGGAAATCGGACGGCGGATTAGCTGTCTTTACTATTCCGGATATCGCGGCCCCGAGATATCGCCGCTCCTCAGATAAGCGTTTCGCGCATCCCGGCGATGGCAGATAACCAATCCTCCCCCCCCCCCCCCATCTCGACCCCGCCTTCTGCCTTTAATTATTGTTTGTGTATAACTTTCTGAAATAATTTATGTACCCCGGCCTGTGTGTTCTCCGAGATCGAATGAACGTTTGCCCGCGCTCCGAATCGACTATCGTCCCAACTGATTACGCAACGTGCCTCTTATCTCCTTTAAACTTTTAAATGGATTCGTATTTACACTGCCGGGCAAAAGTCGAAGGCTATTGATTGAAAATGTCCAGTGAAATCAACCTTGTGCAATTATAATTCAACATATTTTTTTTGTCAACTCTTTTGTCGTTTTATAATGAGGCAGAAAAGTAATGTAGAATATTAAAAAATCCCACGAAAAATACATGTTGCCAGATGAAAAGAGTATTACTTTTTTTCATCAAAGTTTATCGCCAGTCGCGCTTTACATTTAATTACTTTTTTCTACTTTAATTTAGGTGAACAATCGTTTATTTATTTTGTCTGACAGAAGACTCTTCCATCTGTCTTCTAAAATAGCCTGTAACTGAGTTTTGGAAAAAGATTTACGGCTGTAGTCCACTTTCTTGAAATTAAACAATACTACGTAAACCATAACTGCTAACGCCTATGTCTTTTCTGATTAAGACGCAACGTTGAAACATGAATCGAATTTTTAAGCTTCAATGGAATATCTTTAAATTTTATACACAGTCTCAAACCGGCAGTGCAGTTCGTTCTATGAACACATACAAACACATATTTGATTTTCCATCATATTTTATCAGATTTTTATATCATGCACATTTTAAAAAAAATGTGAAACTCCAGATATAAAGAAATTAATTGCATTCGAAACAACATTTCTACTCGCGCGAATATTATTCGCAAACTCAATATCCCTTCCTGGATATAATAAAATACGCCGGTGGAGAGACAGAAACTTCTGAAGCAATCTATTTCCTAAATTTCAATATTATCCGTATTCTGGCTCTTCCCCAAAGAGTCTCCATATGTATATTTGAGTCGCTGCGGATACAGATTTATTTTTAAAAATCCATCATCCTCTCGAGAGTTCTGGGTGGCTCATCTCAAAGGCTCCACCGACAACTATCGGGATCGATCCTAATGGAAGTAAATGAGTTACGATCAATTTCCGTACAACAGAACCAAGAAGGGGGCACTCCGCGCGTCGCTCTGGATCCTCATTTCCTAGCGCTGTCGGCCGCTCTCTTTGAAGCCTTATCGGGAACTCTCCGGAACTCTTTCGGGCGGGGGTGCAAGCCAGAGCTCTGCCAATGATAATCCGAAATTCGGAGGAGCGCCGATTTCGCGGGGCCGCTACTTGTCGCTACGTCTCGGGACGCTATCCGGTTCAGTATCGTCGTGATGCTAGGCTCCGCTTTCTTGTTGCATCAACTAGCCATGACCTGCCTCAATGAGCCGTCGTCAAGCGCGGCAGGATCGGATTGGCCGCGTGACAATTCCGACAACGACGTCTGCCAGAGATAGGCGCTCGTTCTCGCCGCGTTCGAGAAACGCCGTGCCCGCGCGCGGAAACAGATATTTTAATCGCCCCGCGCGCGCTTGGAACAGAAACACACCCGCAAAAACCCGCGTCCCGACGCGTCGACTCGCCGATAAGATACAAACCGAGTCGTTAACTGGTTTCGTTATAGTTCCTGGAGAAATGGAGCGAAGGGACGGGCGAGTGCGCGCAATATCGAAAGCGGAACTCCGAGAATCTGTTGTTGCCCTTGATCCTTTTCCTTTTTTTTTGCTGCGAATCTCGTCTACAAAAATGGTCCCGTCGACTTGCATGCTATTTTTGCAGTGTCAACTATTAGAAACTTATAACGTTTTACGTTGACAAAGGCTTGGCGCCTTTTTAAGGAAGGAACGCGCAGTTTTGTTTCTTTTAATATTGTACAGCTTACTTTTTTATACATTTGTTGCATTTTATACTTTATTTTACACATTGTTATCCCGGACATACGTTCGCGTTTGCCGGAAGATATGTATTTAAACGATATTCTCCAATTGCATCCGATATTAACGTTGACTTGCCACGAGTCAAAACGTGCGTTTTGAAAGACGCGGCGGATTTTAATTAGCCGGCGGGATAATGACCGCGTATTTCAATTATTTTAATTGAACGATCGAATTTATTGCGCGGTACACGCTTAAAAACCGTCAGGGGGTTTTAACGTGGACACGACGTGTGTAAACGTTTGCGCGACCTTCGCGTCCATTCATCCGAGATAATCCTGCGACACCCATTAATATTGCAATAACGTGATCATAGAAGAAACGGCTAATACAATGCGACGCATCACGGAGTGTGTATCCCGATTTTCTTTCTTACGTTCTGAAGATCGTTGACGTAATTATCATAACTAGTCGATGTTACTGATCGTCCAAATTTTATTGCGATCCTACAATCGCTTACGTAATTTTCTGAGGCATCGAACGCGATTTGTTTAAGGGATCACTTCATAAGAATTTTTTAAGAATTTTTATAGAATTAGGAGAAAAGTGAATCTACGAAGTCACATTAACATTATACAATTACAGTTTTAAATCAAGTCAACTTTTTAAAATGATTAATGTTCATTTCTACCAATACAGATTTGCTTTAATCTCAGGTTAACTTACTTTTTACCTTCCTCTAGTTTTAAGAATTAAAAGGATAAAGATAAAAAGTAAGTTAAACCGAGCTTAAAGTTAATCTGCATCGGTAGAAATGAATAAGGGAGATATTTCCCTTTTTCTCCCCCACATAGAATCGTCTAGGGCCTCTCTCGGCGACCGATTGGCCTCGTAAATAATGCTCGAATAAGTAGAATTACCAGCTGAAACAAAATCAATTTCTCTCCGCATTGTAGAATACTAAATCCACATTTGGCTTTTGTCTTTGCTTTCAGAATCTCTGCGCGATTACAACGGACTGTCGTCGGATCTGTACAAGTCGTCGAATTATGACAAACTCGCGCTGTCGCTCCTGTCGCCGCTGCCGAACGAGCAGGACTTCGCCATCAACGTCTGCACCCTGCTGTCGAACGAGGGCAAGCACACCCTGCGGCTCGACAAGTATCCCCGTTTGGTGAACATCCTCCTGGCGCACGCCGGCGTCTTCGACTCGCCTGGCACGCGACAACTCTTCATCGAGGTGTACTCGCGTGTCCGTAACTACTCTATTAATTCTTTCTGGTCGGACGTGCTTGACTCCCAGGATGTGATAGACCTCACGAACGAGAGGACCTTCATGAAGAAGCCGCCCAGCAGTCTGCCGACCTTTTCCAGACGGAAGACTCTCGAGAAGGAGAAGCAGAGCAAGCAGGACGTTGTTGCGCTGATAGCGGAGAACGAGGAACCGCCGCCGCTGATCGACATCGACGTGGTGAGATATCTTTACATATATACGGACTCTCTCCGAGAAACTTGGTCGGTTTCTCCCTTGTTGTCGGGCAGGATCTGAACGCCGTTCGTTGTATGGATTCCAGGTACCTCCAGATTGCCCGCGGCTGGATTCGCTCGTCTTGCACTCGGACGAAAACCTGAAGGATCAGAACCAGAATTCCATCAAGTTCGAGGAGGAGGACAAGGATCTGTTCTGCGTCGGTCGGACGTTGGGCACGCAGGATCCTTACGGGCAACGCGTGCTGCAGATCGCGTCGATCCTACGGAACCTTAGCTTCACGCCGGAGAACGCGACGATATTGGGCAGGAACCGGTGTTTCCTGCGATTCGTGCTGCTGTGCGTGAGAGCGAGGTGGAGCAATCTGCACCAGCTCGGCTTCGACATACTAGGGAACATAGCGAACGAAGTTCTTTTAAAGGAAGCCGGCGAGAGGATAACGGACGTCGTCTTAACGTGCGTTGCCAAGGGGATCGAGTCCCAGGACAGGTTTATTGTTATATCCTGCCTGGAGGTACTCAACAAGATCAGCCAGCAAGACAGTAACGAAGAAATTGTAACATTTGGTCTGGCAGATAATGTATATGAACTTATATGCAGGTAAGTGCGTGTATATGCCTTTTCATTTTGTGTTGCTTGACAGAAATTAACTTTCACAAATTTGCGTTAATGTAAGAAGATCATGAAATGTAGCTGTTAAATGAAAAGTATCGTACAGAATATTTAGATAAACGTTCTGCGAATTTTCATACATAGTCGCTCGAATCGCGTGAATAAAAAATATACCATTGAAGGCAAAGTCTCGTGTTTTAACTCGAGGCAAGGGAACTCTTGTACGAATAATTGATAATTTCCTGAAAACTTTCATGCACACAATTAGGATACCTTTTCTCTCGATCGACGCGTAACGCGAGATTTCGTCGTGTTTGCTTGCAGATTTCTAGCTCTAAGTGACATAGCCCTCTTAGTGTATACCCTGGAATGTCTGTACGCTTTAACGTCACTGGGTGAGAGACCATGCACGAGCGTCGCGCGGGTCCGCGGTGCCATTGATACGCTGGTCGCCCTCGTCACCGTGGAGGCGCAAAGCTACGGCCCAAAGGCTTGTATTCTCATGCGAGTGGTCGAGACGGTGTCCACAGCAGTGGCGCAGCAGAACACCAGCGGGCAAGCCGCTGCTCCCGCCACTCCTGCCACACCAGCCACAACGACTGCGCCCGCGTCCACTCCGTCTACGCCGGCTACGGTTACCGCGACGCCGGCACCTGCCAGTCCAGCGTCTTCTCGACCTACGACTCCCGCGGCGACCTCGACCAAGTCGACAACTCACAGTACGTGGTCGAAATCTCTCTTTCTCGTCCCTCGCTAGAAATGGACTTGCGTCTCTTTTTTTTTGTCTACCGGCGTTTTTGTTTCTTGTTTACGTCTATAGAAGCGGTGGAGACAGCTAATGCAATCCAACAGCAAAACGCGCATCAGCAGATTATTCAAGAGAACGAGCAGTTCGCTCTTGGCTGGGTGAAAGCGACCTTCGAGCTCGCACCCGGTGTACGCATCGAACAGGAGGAATTGTATAAAAAGTACCTCGGCTGCTGCACGAAAATCGGTAGACGAGGCGTGATAGCGCCGCTGCATTTTCCCAGATGCGTCAGGTGATTATCTCTCGTCGCGACATTCGTTGTGTCGCGTAACATACGTATGTTCTAATACACGCTGTACTGCGCAGATCCGTTTTTGGCAATATCGTGGGGCCGAATCCATTGAAGGGCGAAAATACCGGTACCCAGTATTACGAAGGCATCCGAGTACGGGCCACACCCGCGCCGATCACTTATCCGAGCCAAACTACCGCTGCTGTTGCGACTAATACACTCCCGATTCCGGCGGTCAACACTACTCCAGTAAAGGTGCTTCCCGTTCAACAACGTACAGTCAAGAATATAAGTCCCGCACCCGATAGCACGGCCGCTCCCCAGGTCGATAGTCCCGCCGCGTCGTCCGGGACGCAAACGACCCCCACCCCCGCGTCTCCCATCCTTAAGGCCCAATTGTCCGCACCGCCGAAACCCCCGTCCAACAACACCTCGTGCCAGTCCCAAAATCCAGTGACCAAGGTCGATTCTAAAAGTCAGGTGGGTCCGAATCCTAGCTCTCTCTCTATACCATTCTCTGCCATTCTCGTTTATGATCTTGGTTCTCACTTTCGTTGTGTTGTAGCTTCATAACGCTATTCTTACTGTTGGTTTTCCCTTTTAACACGAGCTAGAGCTACTTCCTTGTAACATATGGGTGAGAGAGTTCTCCTTTGCATGCCTCGTGAATCCTCGACTTAGCTCTGTGATCGCCGAGTACCGTAGATGTAGATAAGTAGAGTGAACTGTAAGAGCAACATTCGTTTCATTTCCTTTCTTGCGAGGAATCTCAAATTATTTGCCGAATCTACTATTATACAATATCAAATTTTACGTAGGATGAGATACTTCATAATTTCTATTCGCAATCATCGCTGCGGCCTTGGAAAGATATCGACCGGAATTATTTCCAAGGAATCAATGTATTCTCTGTGATTTACGCTTATCAAAACGCATCTTCCGACTGCGTAAACAGTAGCCACGCTATAATATACGAGATATATCGCAGCATGTGTTCACGTAAACGCTTAAACTATACTTTCCGAAGCTGTGATTCGTTGTGGTGGTTGAAATTTCTATGTTGCCTCCTTGTCGATTAGGTATCAGTATCGCATCCGCATCTGAGCCAAGCGTTGCTAGCGAGCGGCTCCCAAACGCCGCAGCAGCAGCAGCTACCGCAGCAGCAGCAGCAGCCGCCGCAACAGTTACAGTGTATCCAGGTAGTTGCTAAGGAAGATAATCGAAGTGGCACTACGTCGAGTTCCATAATAAAAAGCCTATTGGCTACTAAGGTAACAGTCAGCAGCGACTGCATGCCCAGTGCTGCTGCGACTTGTGTGTCTACCCCTACTGCCTGCGTAACAAACACTACTGCTAGCATCGCATCCAGCATCAGTGCCAACCAGCTAATAACCAGCAACCAGGTATCATTGTTGTATATTAACAATAATAAGTAGTTGTTTTTTGGGGGGGGGGTTTCGATTTTTGTCCAGAAAGTACCGAATTAAAATCTCCGGAATCTTTATTTTCTTGACGTTCTGTGAGATGCAATTAGAAAATATTAAGTTTCATGTACGGTAGATAACGTAATGTAAATTAATTAGAAATTAGATATGCGGTAAACAATGTAATTTAAAATAAAGAGAGGTCGTTAAATCATATCGTTACGCATGCGTGCGTAAATTACAATTATCTTATTACACGCAAGACAAATCTCACCTTTTTAACAGCTTTACTTGCTGTCTGTTGTAGAAATATTACAGAATCTCTCACCGAGAGATACTTGGTTTCCATTTTTAGCGAATTGTCACAGCGTGTTATCCATGCAGGGATATAATTGATACTTGCATTTGTTTTGTTTTTTTTTACTACTTGTCAAAATGTCTGCTTATGATGTAGTGTTGGTTGATGTATTCAGACTTTGTTATGTACTCCCTTGTTCTTTTGGAATACGAATTTAGACCAGAGAATGTCCTTTCTCCTTCCCTTCTTAGCGAATCTATTACGATGAAAGGGACATTAGCAATATTTAACAGGGTGTCATTTTAAAATTTATATGAGAGTACTCGTAACACGAAGCACTAACAACAGCATGGTTTTCGGATTGAATTCGATTGTTCTTTTGACATTTGCTCCATTACAAGTATATAATAAAATCGACGAGCGCGAGAGAAATGATGCGATTGTGGGGAAAAAAACTTGGAGATAGTGATTTATGTCTCCTCGGTTAATATTATCACGGACACTCGCTAGGTTGCCCAACGTCAACAACAGCAGAGGTTACTGCAGCAGCAGATGACGGGTGTGATGCAGCCCGCTGCACCCGCGGCCACCCCGGCCACGATACTCCCAAAGACTCCCGTCAACGCTAAGCAGAAACCGGCAATCTCACCCATTCCTGCCAAAAAGATACAAAGGCTCAACGGGGCCAAGTTCGTTGTGACTAACAACTGCGAGAAGGTGCGCGATTGTCGCTTTTACAAGTTTCGTAACTTGCCGTGTGTGGTAACTTAATTATATCGAGCGTCTCCGTATGTTTCAGACTGAAGTAAACGATAACGACAATGCCAACCAAATTATCACGTCCACGACCACGGTGGTGAACTCGACTGAAAACCACATATCCTCCTCACCGGCGAAGGTCTGTCGTCCGCCCTTGACGACGACGGTTAACGTCGCCACCGGTACACCGAACAAGATGAATCAGCGCATGACCTGCACCTCCATCGCCGAGGATTCGGATTCTACCAACAACTCTTTGGCGTCCAGCAGCGGTATCGGCGGCAGCAGGGACTGTTCCTTCCGGGTCGAGGAGGAGAACATGCCGACGAGTTTCGAAGGTATCCTACTTAACGGCGCGCCGGCGAGCAACAACACGGACATCGACGCGCAGGAAGACGGTTCGTCCAAGGACTCGTCGAGCGTGGGTTCCAAGGACAAGCCGCTACAGAGCATGATGCTGGTGGACTTGCTCGAGAGGAAGGTTGACAAGGAGCCGATTCTGAACGGCGTGCTCAGTAAAAACTCAATCAACGAGAAAGAGATGGATTTGGTGGAGAATCACATCAAGAAGGTATTAAAAGAATCTCCCACCGAACTGAAGATAAAACCCGAGGTAGAGAGCGGCAATGTTATACAGAACGAAGTGTCTGAAGACACTCTGATCGAGGCGCCGCGAGGAATCAAGAGATCGGCCAGCGAATCAGACGAGCTGGATATCAAGAAGCCCAAGTATTCCAACGGCACCATGTCCCCCGATCCAGCGGTCGACTCGACCACGGCGGAGTCCACGGTATCGAGTATAAAATCCGAGGAGCAGGACGACGATAAGGACAGCGAGAAAGCGACTGTTTCCTCCACCGCGGCGAATCTCTATGCCGCTTTGGCAGCGGACTGCATAGAGGACGAGATGGACCTGGAAGAACAAGTGAGTGTTAATAAGGATACGATAAAGAATGAAACGTCGGCAACGGTAACAGCACCGACGACGGCGATGGCGACGGCAACGGCGACGGGGACGGCGACTGCGACGGCGATGGCGACGGCAACAGCGACGGCGACTGCTACGACGACAGCGACAGCGACGGCAACGGCAACGATAGCTGTAGCAGCGGCGCCAACGGTAGCAATGGCAGCGACAGCAACAATGGCGGTGACAACGACTCCAGTTTCTCTTCCTCCTCCTCTTCATGTGAAGACGGAAACGACGCCAATTCTCATGAAAGAAGAGCCACCGACTATACACATAAAGGAAGAGCCTCACATATTCATCAATCAGATCGCGAGCATCAATCAAGCGTCGCAGTCGCAAGTACCGCCGTCGCATCAACAACAGCAGCAACTCATAGTGACAGCGCCTAGGCAAATAGTCGTGCAGCAGACGATTCCGACGAGCAGCCCAATGATTATTCCCACCCCGGGGGTGGCAGTGAAGGGCAGGCCGCCCCCGCCTCAACCGCAGGTGCTCCTACAGCAGAGCCCGGGCGGGCAGCTGCAATATGTAGTGTCGGGCGGTGTGCCCGGTCAAAACTACGTACTGGCGCAGCCACAGACGGCCCTGGTGCAGGGACAAGCGCAGACCGTCCTCGTAGCGCAGACGACGCAACAACAGGGGACCGGTACCAAGACAATTATCATATTGCAGCCGCAAGCTGCCGCGCAGCCGACCCCCCAGAAGATGGTGGCGGTGACGCCGCAAGGACAGCAGGTGGTCGTGACGCAGGTTCCTCGTCCGATTTTGCAGAGCCCGGCGCTCGGCAACATCCCACCGCCCCTCGTACCCACATCCGCTACTATCCCGCAAGCTTCCATTATAGTCAACAGTTCGATGGCGCAGGCCAACCCGAACACGGTGACCGTCACGATCCCGGCGATGGCTCAGCAGACTCCGATGTCCACCAGTGTGCCGTCCAGGGTGGTGACACCTACGCCGGCATCCACGCCGCCGCCGACTAGGCCCACAACTCCGCATCAAGCGGCGGCTACCCACGGCATATCCGCCATCAAGCCGTCACCCGTCGCCAAAGTCGTGAAGACAGTGAGTTCGTCAACCTCCACCGAGCCGGAGTCGAAACCCTCCACAAGCCAGCAGCAGCAACTGCAAACGCCACAGCCATTGCCGGAAAGCAAAACCACGATCACGATCAAAATCGATCCCAACGCTTATCTGTGCGAGTGGCGGGGCTGTCTTAGGTAAGTTGAAAGATACATTTTCGGGATTTACAATTTTATCAAGCAATTTTGTGGAAGCTATTGTGTATAAGACATAGTTGTATCTTGTGTCTGTGAGACATTGCGAATTGATAAAAGATATCTCAAATAATTGTAGACAATTTAAAACACCGCACGAAGTCTATCTTCACGTTTGCGAGGCCCACTGTCCGACTGGCGGCGAGGAAATACTGTGTCTGTGGGCGAGCTGCGATGCTCTCAAGAGGCGCAAGTTCTCGTTAATGACGCATCTCTACGATAGGCACTGCAACGCGGACGTAAGTAATCTTGCGTGTTACTCCCGTGAGCCTCTATTGATCTTAAAAGAAATTATCGGACGGTGCTTGATAGCCGTGAGTTTATATTCGCAACTTTTCTTCCTTCGCAGACAATGTCGATGAGGAGGAAACAGTTGACAGTGACGGGTAAAACCGAAGTCTCCACGTCTACGCCCCAGACCCCGCATCATCCCGGATACGCACCCAACGCGGCATTCCACGCTATTAAACGGCATGCTCTGGAATTCGTTAATCCTAAGGAGCTAATGGTAAGTTTTTCAGATGTCGTTTTGTAATTCCGAATACAGAATTTAATTATACTGTGTTCTATTCGTTCTCTGTATCTAATGTTAATATATTCGACGCCAATCCGGAATTAACGTATTCGAGACGGCTACTTAGTGAATTTTAACTTCCAATTCTATCTTTTGCACTGAGCTTTAATTATTTGGACAAGCTTTCAATGCACGTGAAGAAATACAAATCAAAATTTTGACTGGAAAAAGTACAAATAAATACGGTGATTTTGCAATAATCTCAACTAATAGGAAAAGAAGTATCGATTTATACGCTTACGCTTATTGTCCAATACAAATAGAATCGGGTATATCAATTACCTTTGTTTTATTTTATTTACTTGTTAAATTTATATTTAAATGTATGTCTTGGCATAACTTTAATCAATGCAAATGTACTTGCTATTAGAAATAAAAGATTGGCGTGATTATAAAATTGGGGATATTTGTAGAATAACTACAATTTAATAAAATATGATTTTATCTTTACTTTTATTTCCACTTATAAGTAAAGGTAAAATCATAGACTAGAGAAAGAACAGAACAAATGTATTCTGAGTGCGATGTAAATCTAATCTAAGGAAAGCTTTCTCTCTCCCTGCGCATAGCAAATCGATAGTAAAAATATACATACTAGATAGATACACAAATTTACAATCTTGTAATACACCTAATACACACACGTAATACACGCCTCGAAATACACACGTTACAATCTTTCTCCCCGCAACGTTGATACTCTGTTGATGTAAAGTCGATTCTATAAAAATCACCCGACAGTCTTCGATTCTGCAAATCTTTGACTGGCTAATTTAACGAAATTTCTTGTTCTCTCTTGGCGAAGCAGCAAAGGCCGACCAAGCCCGCTGCAGCCACCTCAAGCTCTTCTTCCCCCAGACCTGGGCAAAATTCTCCACCAGAACAGGTAAAAATGTATTGAGGCTTGAAAGGGAAGTCACGACGCAGCTACGGCTCCTGTGCGCTGCCGCTGCTGTCGTCTCTCTGTGCTTTTTTTATTCTCTCCCTGTTTTTGCACACCATGTCATTTTCCCCCGAACCCCGTCATTTGTTTTATACCCTTCCGTTTTGTTGTAGCATGTCTTTTTTAATTTTTGTTTCGACGTTACATTTCGTAGAGCTAGCATTTAATTTTTTTTTAAATTTGTACATGTGTCGAACTTACAATACTCATGTTAGGAGGGTGTTGGTTGAGGCACACAGTGCTCGTTTCAACAGAGCAGCAGTGAGAAGCCGAACTTCCATTTACTAAGTAGATGTTGCTAGAGCTGTAGGTTTGGATATATGTTTGTATATGGTATGTGTGCGTCCTTGTCGTATAGTTGTAACGTGGTTAAGGTGCAAGAATATGAATTCGTCGCCGTCTATTACATGACACGTCGAATACATGCGCGACTGTCCAGGACAGACGAACCTGCGGCTTCGTCGAGAAATTGCAGCGCTTCTTACACATTAACACGACCCTCATAACGCATTTGTAGAACAACATCATACAAACTTGGAAACTACGTACCACATTCATGCATTATTTCACGAGACTTGTTTTTCCTAGCATCCGAAAGATCAGTTGATTTCATTTGTTGCCCGTCATCAGTTGTCTGTGTGTGAAAACGAGCGCGCGTGGACGATCGATTGTCAACGGTGTGTCTTTATCTTGCAGGATGACAACGAAGGTCCAGTGACCAAAAGTATTCGCCTAACGGCAGCTCTCATTCTTAGAAACCTAGTCATATATTCAACACACGGTAGAAGGTAAGCCACCACCTCTGCGTCCCGTTTTATCCCATTTTATTTAATTGCCGCCTCGCAATCTTTGCTCATTCACGAATTATTTGCAGGCATCTTAGATCGTACGAGCCCCACTTGGCAGGCGTGGCGTTAAGCAATGTCGAATCATCGAGAACAATCGCACAAGTCCTTTATGATATGAACGACCAGAGTAGCAGTAGCCATCATAGGTGACCTCTTGAATCAGGCCTCTAAAAGCTCTTTTAATCTTGCGAGCAGCGATCAACTTACATTATTTCGAATTACACCGGGAGAAAGCGAAAGTGTATAAGCTTATAGTCACTTGTCCAGGTGATTATATGCACATGGATGATTGTACATGCGTGCGTGCGTGCCTATGTATGTGCGTGCGTGCGTGCGTGCGTGAAGTGTGCCCATGCAATTTGAAGAACTGGAACTAGAGAAGAATGGTACAGAGGGGATAAATGTTCCATATATAGAAAAAAAAGAGGCCTATAAACTTACTAGGCAAATCGTTTTGCCAATTTAGATTATGTCATGAACTGTAACTATAGTGAAATACAATACAAAGACAGTTAGGTCAAATATGGAAAAGTGATAACGAGTTTGGCAGAGAGAAAAAGAGAGTAAGTGTATGCGTGTGAGAGAAAGGGGGTGAGTGGATTAGAGAGAAAGAGAGAGCGAGTGAATGAGAGAGTGCGAGCGAGAGAGATGATATTTCAGATTTAATATTAATATTTATTTTCTCAACAAGAAATGTCGAAAAAGTGTTTTTAGTAAACGTGTACAAAAAGGATCGAAGAAGATACTTTATGGACGTTATAGTTAATTATAATCAATATATTATAATTAATATTATATTATTCTATTATTAATTATTATTGTATGTTTTTTTTTCGTAAATCACCAAGGAGACCTAGGATACAAAGGAAGAAGAACGAAACCTTTTTATGAGATGTATTTGTTAGGAATTTATGTTTTGCTTATAATTGCATATTGCAATTACATGGCTATATTATCGTCTCTCTTTGTTTTATTATTAACTAATCTAATCTATCGACAGAAATTAGTAAGATATAACAGTACATGCATCGGTATGCTAGCGAGTTCGTCATTACAGCAGAACATTCATATCACTGCATAAATCTAATGACGTCTAGTTTAGATCAGTTTTAGCTCGATGACTCCTAGCTATTCGACTTCTGCGATGTGTCAGGATACTTAGAGGAATTTTTTACGCTCGCTGAGTAATGTGGCATATCGTTAGATAAATCTATAAAATGACTTTGTCATTAGCGTGACTTCTAATCAAAAGAAATAAATATCTTGCAGAAAGAGATCCCGAAACCAACAACAGTATTGACAAATTAACGAATGAGTAAGTAAATTTCGAACGAACGTTCTTTATGATATCTGGATTTGAAAGGCCTAAGATGTTACATCTTTATATAATGATCGTAATATTGGACTCTTTTCCTCTTTAATTCTTGTATCTTTAACTAACGTTTTGTTACTAATATCCGCGACCGCAATTGGAATCGTGTTTCTTTTTCATTCTCATGGCAGAGCGTGGATAGCTTTCGGCCGATGCAAACGTATCAAGCATGGAGTATCTCATTTCAACATAATTTGAATGAACACAACAGGTTTATACAACAACAGATGGACTTTTTTATGATATCATGCAAAATGTAATATATTATTGCAACGCATAATGACAAAGTTGTCTTTTGACGTAATACTCTAACATTGTTTTAAACAAAGTTTGCTCTGGAAGATCATAGAATTTTTTTTACATTATATATCGCAACAAAGGAAGGTACTATTAAATATAACTATTTTCTCCGAGTCCTAAACCAAATGAAATCGACTAAATCGACAGAATTGTTCGTTATTTGGCTAATCGGTAAGCTCGATATGTAATTTATAAAATGAGTTTTTATTTCGAACGATTTAAAGCGTTAAAGTGACAAGTATTTTATGTTCCCAGACGTCACTACTTCGCGAACGGCGTATATTGCATTTATCACTTATTGAGTTGTTTGAAACACCACATAAAAGAATAAGGTAATCATATTCAAAAATATATATATGTATGTATACATGTGTATAAACATATATACATACATATATACAAATATAAATATAAAAAGATATATATACATATTTGTACATAATGCCTGTATTTCATTCATGATGTTAAAACCTCTGTGTAAATTTCTTAAGATTGTAAGTTTAACGCGTCTTTAAAAGAAAACAAAGTAAAAGATTCTTGTATTATAATAGAATGTGACAAGACATAGAAGTTGCAAGAAATGAATTTTTGTAATTATTTAACTGGTTCGGTGAAGACAACTGAGGAACGGTTTCGTCTTATATTACAAAACGGCCGTTTAAGGATAGACATAAAAATATGATAATGGACCCTGTGCGAGCCTCTATTATGTATTTTATATATAAATATATAAAAACAAGTTTAATAGCTGAACGTTTTTAGGAGGATGAAAATCTTGTGAGAGGCTTTTTATTTTTATTATTTGTAATTATACCTAGTTTACATGTTCACCGTTTCGTACGATCATCGAGATCATAAATAAACATCTGTGTAAAGGAATAAAAGAACGATATAATAAATTACTAAATACGAAGGAGAATATGGGAAAAATATATAGACTGATTATTTGAGTTGTTCTTTCTCTCCGTCGTATCGCGTGAATGCGTGAACGGCAAGAAAAATTATCAGAGAAAAGTCAGAAGAATTGGACACCACAATCATCTACCCGTACGTATATTATAAATGTAACAATTCATTTATCATTCTGCTTTTATTTATTTTCAAAATTCTTCATAATTAAAATATGTATATTTTAACGTAGATAAATTTAATTGGACATTGTAGAAAATATAGAATTTATTGCAATATCGCTCGAGTGTACGAAGACTTAAGAATATACATATTTGTACTTAAACGTACATTTACCAATATATTTTACGAGTTAAATCATTAAATTATCATATATATTGTATATAAATATAGTATTTTCTTTTTCGGATTCTTACTCAATACATGTTCATGTGGCAATTTCTACTTATCTTAATCTTTTCTACTTATTTTAAAAGACTTGTTCAGAGCATGTTGACTAGTTGTTGCTCTATTTTTCCGATCTGGCTTTGATTTTAACTTTTAGAAATTCAAATTTTGTAAACACTGTCACGAAGTGCTGATTACCACTACAAGTATTGTCGACTTTATTTTCTTTTTCTCCTCAACATATCTAATAATCTCCATTGTATTTTCTATACATATATATATATATATATATTCGATATACTTACAATTTTTTTAATATAAAGAATCCTGAGTTCTTAAATTATTCTATCAAGTCTTTGTGAGATAGTTTAATTTCTTCTTTTAATTAAAATTCTAAGTATAATTTGACTATTTCATGTATACTTAACTTGAGACATTTGGTAATTAGACAAATTACTATATATAAGAACAATCTTGGTTATATATCACCTTGAAATTGTCAGTTTTCCATTTCTCGAAAGTCTTGGTCCCTCGTGGGGCGATGTATGTTACAATTATTCGTACACATTTACATCATTAAAAAATATAACTGATATCTCTTAATGTGTGATTATATGAACGAAATTATATTGCCGAGTCTTAACACATTAAATCAATTTGTGTGCTTTGAATTGGCTCTACTCAATATGATCCTTATTATCTTTCTACTGGAAATTATCAAGATCAAGACACATCGTGTACAGTTTAGATCACTACATTTAAATCTACATTGAAACTGTCTGGAGATGAATTTAGCGACCTGCAAAAATAAACAGAAAAGATTTAGTCGATAAACATGTACAGCTTATATTATTTTCGCACGTCGGAAAATTCATTAGCATATATCGTCAATAGCGCAAATCGCCTCGCATCAAAAAGGCAATCGTTGTAAATGATAAAATTTATATATTTCCTATAAATATATATGTGTATGGCACAAACGTTGTCTCGGAAATGCTAAAGGTCCTTACAAAAAATCCCGAGAGCGTTTTTAGAACATTAAGTAATTTACGATACTTTTCCCGTTAAGGAAGATTCGATCTTTTATCTGTGTCGTTAGTGGACTTGCGTTGCGAGAAGAACGTGCTGGGGCATAACACGAAGTCGACGGAGGAAATACGTTTTTTAAAAGAGGAACACCGACACTCGGGCGAAAACGATGTGGATCGATCGTCGTGACTCGTCAATCCCACTTGGCCGGAATCGCGTACGCATGTGCGTTTGGGAATCGCGGTGTACGGTTTTCTCAACCAGTCTACTTGCCTGGTGAATTTGTAATTGATTTATTAATCAGTTATAGTCTACTTTCAAACGCGATTACAGTCACTCCGACTCTACCTGGATGTACACTCGCCATTGGAGATTCTAACATCCGACTGAGGAAGGGTCGTGCGAATTTGTTGCAGGGAAATCGTGGAGTCTTCAGAATTTCTAAATTAAGAAACGAGACCACGATGGACAATACGCGGCAAGACGCGAGAGAGAGAGAGAGAGCATAAAGGAAGAACTCGACAATGAAAAGATGAACTCGCGGTCGAGCATGTTTAGCGATTACGATAAAATACCTGCGAGTCTCTTCTTCCTTTCTCGCACGGTCAAACCTCTCGTTGGTGACCTGCCTACGGAGCTCGCTGATCTGTTTGCTGTATTCCGCCGCTTGATTTTGGTATTGTCGAAGTTCCACGGATTCTGACGAACTGTAATCATGAAAAAATGTAAACTCACAAGATACAGTATAAAGATAACAGGGACGTACAGTTTACTTTGTAGTTCGAAGACTTTCTGCTTCAATCTGGAGATCTCATTTTGCAGCTCTTGATTGGTAGCCTGCGCGGTAATGGCCTCCTGCCTCGACTGGTCCAGAAGAGTCTCCAGTCGTTCCACGGTCACGCGATCTCTAGTAAATTGATCTTGAACAATGCTCTGCTCGGCTTTCAGTCTTGACAATTGCGCCTCGTACTGTATGAAAAAAAAGCAAACCAGTGGAGAAACCAGTGATGTATGTACAAACAGTAGAAACGGCTAGAATAAAGAGTAAATTTACATGCGCTTTCACGGTGTCCTTGTCGCCGAGTTGCTCCACAAGCGTATCCTTTTGTTGGTCCAACTTCACGCATAAGTCCCTGACCGCCATTAGATCGGCCTCGGCTCGGTGTCTCTGTTCGATCTGCTGCCGCAGCTGAGTCTCCATGTTAGCGACGCTCTGCGTCAGATTGCTTATCTGGAGAAGTCATTAAATGATACACACGTGAGAGTGATATTTACACCTCAAAAATATATTAAATTCCTCATTTTCTCTTATTTAAATTAGACTATTTTTGGCTGAATATCGCAACGCAAGATGTAATGTAACGAGTTTAAGTACCAACGATTCTTCACGTCTGTCACGAAGAGAGCTAGATACCTGAATCTCGTAACCCTTTATCAAACATATTTACATCTCAAAAATATATTAAATTCCTCATTTGCTCTGATTTAAATTAGACTATTTTTGGTTGAATATCGCAACGCAAGATGTAAAGTAACGAGTTTAAGTACCAACGATTCTTCGCGTCTGTTACGAGGAGAGCGAAATACCTGAGTCTCGTAACCCTTTATCAAACAGTCTCTGTCCGCCAATTGACGATCCAGGTCGAGTATCTGATGCCTCGCGGTTTGAAGGGCGCCTCTGGCCTCCGCCGCCTCGGACTCCAGGCTGTGATTGTTATTCTCCAGAACCGTCGCCTCTAAGCTAAGACTCCGGAAGTGATTCAGCATTTCCGTTCTCTCATTCTCCTGGAAAGATTGTGGGAGATTAGTCGGAGGCGGACGTTACTCAAATTAAATTGCTTTCCGGATTCTACCTTCCGATTCAGGAGTTCCTCGGCACGGCGGACCTCGCTGACGTAAGTCTGCAGTTGCCTCTTCAGGTCGTAGCACTCGGCGCGCGAGGTCTCCAGCTCGCGCTGCATATTCCGCACCTCGCAGGTCACCGCCGCCAGGTCGTCCTGCAGCTTCCGGTTCTCCTGAATCGCGTTCTCGCGGTCCACCGTCGCGGCCTCGAACTGTCGCTGCATCGTCTCCATCTCCAGCTGCAGCGACCTGAGCTGACGCTCCTGCTCCGCGCTCTGATCGACGCATATTCTACAATTAATATCATTGCGCATTGAAGAACGTAGACACTAAACGTCTAGCAAAAAACAATAAATTACCATAATCGTATTATAATTATTATAATAAGTTTTCTATATTTAGTATCATCTTTGTAAATCTTCGCGTATAATCTTCTACCGTGATGTCGTGCGACAATTCATGTTTGATTCTGCGATCGTTCATGCGGATCAGGTGTCCGTTCTTCGTGGCGCAAGCTATGTTCCCGAAAGGGGACAAGGGCAGCACGAACGAATTAGGCGTTCGTCGTTTCCCAACTTGCACAACTCTCTCGAAATGAGGTACTGACGTGATTGGATTTTCGTATTATCGTTTATAGAGACCGGCAATTCCCATTGCCCGCAACTCCGTCAACAAACCGCGACTGAATAAGACGCAAGACTGACGAAGAACATCGATCTACTCACGCATACGTCATTTGGCCGAATTAGCCGACGTGTACAAATGATGCTGAGCTAAATAACGACAGCCTGGATGAAGTTTTCTCGGAAGAACCGGACACAAGAGATCCGCGGCTTTCATCGCGGAAAACGTTGACGCGTGTCTATCGAAAGCCAATCATTCCCAACTTTCGACGGGCTGACAAGTCAACGGCGGAAACCAATCGGCCGAGTTCCAGCTCGTCGGATGGGGGACCAGCGCGCGTGGACCATCGATCATCCGCGCGCCGATTACGCGCGGTGCGGTTTGCGTAATCGCGAGGCCTGCAACGTGGTCGCGGCGCGTGCGAAAAATATCCGGACGCCGGATGACTTTCTCTCGCCTCTCTCGGCGACGGCAACAGCAGCAACCCGCCGCCTCCCGCGGAGGATCTGATCCAAGCATGAAAGTGAAAATTAATTCCGTCGCGGAAAGCATTTTCCACGAGGCAGCGTAGCGACAACCTCCTAATCGGCAACTCCATATGGACAAGAAAAACCTGTCTCTCTCTCTCTCTCTCTCTTGTCTTGAATATTAACTCATTGTTAATTATGGATAAGCGGAAACGTGTGCGTTTCAGAGAAAAGAGTGCAAAGTTTAATAACTGAGAATTAATACTGAAACCAGGGTTGGGAAGTAACAGTTACTTTTTTTTGGTAACTCTAACTTAACTTCGTTACTTTCTCTCCATCCGTAACTGTAACTGGACTCAGTTACATTAATAGTTACTTTATATATTTTTTAAACGTCCACAGATCGCATTAGGCCTCGCATTTGCGCATAAACGCCTTTATCGACGCTTTACAATTGACATGCAGATTTTATATTTTTATTTTCAAGTAACTGCAAAATAGCGATTCGTTACTTTTTGAGTAACTGTAACGCGTTACATTTCAGAACTGGCAGCTTGTAACTGCAAATACCCGGGAAAAATATATATATCTAATCATATCTGACAAGGGGAGGACCAACATCTGTCCTCTCCGATTTTAATGAGCTTGATATATGTTGTAATACTACACCTCCCTTAATGATAGGTAAAACCATTCGAT